TATCATCATCCTTGGTGTGCCGTTAGACATCACATAGGGCTCGCATTTCATTCCTCTACTCCGCCCAATTGCATGCAACTCAATTTCTGACATGGAATTCAGCCCCGTATTTTTTGCCTGTCGTTAAAATATTCTTCTCAGTGTTTTCCTAGGACATCCTCTTGTTCTTAGACCGTTTGTTTCACATGTTAGTGCTTGTCTGGTCATTCTTTGCTCATTTCGCCTCAGAGTATGTCCAGTACATCTCCACCTTCCCTGTCTTATAGCAGGGGTTACAGTTTTTTGTCCAGACATTTCTCTGACCTTCTCCCTTCTTTCTTTCAAATTCATACTATATTTTCGACATCCGAAAACTGTTGACGTCTAGAGAGATAAATAACACATTAAAATGGGAATTGTAAATTTCATCGTGAACAGGTGTTTCTCATGGGCAGATCTTAGAATTAGAGGCAATGGGATTTAATTATAAACAAAAATAAAAAAATTTTTCCATTCCAAAAAAAAATTCCAAAAAACCATTAAAAACTAACACCAAATTTAAAAAATTTTTTCCCAAAAAAAAATTTTTTTTTTTTATTTTCAAAAATTTTATTTTTCTTAATAAATTTTTTTCTAAATAAAAAAATAAATGTGAATAGGGGATGTTTTTTGGGCGGGCCCTGAAAAGGGCTATCTTGGTCTGTCGGTGGTGGAGAGCCCTGGAAAGGAGCGACAATCTCCACTGATGCATACTCGTCGGTCAGGGTTAGGGCTACATACAGGAATGCTGACAGGCCATGGAAAATCACATCGAAAACGAAGGCACGAAGGGAGAACACCCCTTGCAAACAGGGCATAGTGATGGGGGACACACGAACGAACGTATCAGGCACTGGAAATGAAACGCACTAAATGATGAACATGCTCAAACAAATTAACATACTTAACGTCTAGAATTCTAGAATGTAGCAGTTTTAGTATTGTAGGGTTACAGTTAAATAAACTGGGGCTAACACTAACCCTAAACCTACCCCGCCTATACTTTAAACCTTCTGGGAACTTCCTAGAAATTCCCTACCAAATCATGCAGTCGACGAGATGGGGTGAAAAGGTCGAAAAGAACCAGATGTTTACATGACAATTCTGGTCAGTGGACAAAAGGAACAAACGCAAAAGAAAACAAATCAACACAGACACTAACTAGATAGTTAATGAGAAGCGAGACTAAAGGCCAAAGACTGAAATCCGGAAAGTGAGTTGAGGTTCCTGCTGTGGGAGCTAATGGCACGGGAGACGTGTGCAGCTCAATGGGCTCACAGAAACCAATCAAGGAAGGCACCCAGCGCTGCGGCCATGAAATAATCGTTCTATGTCTCCGGGTCAACAGTAAGGATCACTCTGAATGAAAAGATCCACAAAAAACCGGATGCCGCAGCGGTGATTGACACGTGGACTCTGGACACAGCAGACTAGCGGAGAGTTTGATACACACAGGCGCGGGCAGTCAGCTGGGGGTTTCGATTATTTCTAACGGTTCACAGTAGGGGTGCAATGAGCAGAGAATCAATAGACGACAAACTAACGAGAGAAAAAGAACTACGCAACAACGGGAACGAAATCTTTTTTGGAAGTCAGTCAACTCAATTACAGCTTCTTAATTTCATTTATGAAGACTGCAAATGTCTGTATAATAAAGTGTAGCACTCATACGGAAGTTTTACCTTCTCTTCACCTATTCTATGTTCTAAACTGAACAAATTTGTCCACTTATTTTCAGTTCTTGCCCATTCAAGATGTTCCACTTTTTAATCGGCTTCTCTGTTGTTTTTTGTTGTTGGTGTTTCAACTCCCAGTTCTCAGTGAATGTTGTATGTCGATGTATGTGCTTTAAATTCTGGTCTGGAAACATTACAAGGGAAGACAACTTGGCGTCCATACTAAAATTAAAAGTATTTCTGAGGGAATACAAAAAACGTCAGTTAACTGCTGACGATTGTTTCTATTCCCATTCCCCATGTCATAGCTAGCTTTACCCTATACCCATTCCCCGTGTCATAGCTAGCTTTACGCCTATACCCATTTCCCGTGTCATAGCTAGCTTTACCCTATACCCATTCCCCATGTCATAGCTAGCTTTACCCTATACCCATTCACCGTGTCATAGCTAGCTTTACCCTATACCCATTCCCCGTGTTATAGCTAGCTTTACCCTATACCCATTCCCCGTGTCATAGCTAGCTTTACGCCTATACCCATTCCCCGTGTCATAGCTAGCTTTACCCTATACCCATTCCCCGTGTCATAGCTAGCTTTACCCTATACCCATTCCCCGTGTCATAGCTAGCTTTACGCCTATTCCCATTCCCCGTGTTATAACTAGCTTTACGCCTATACCCATTCCCCGTGTCATAGCTAGCTTTACGCCTATACCAATTGGGGAAGGGGCGGATGTCGGGGATAGATAGTTCTAGAAAACTACAGAGAAGGATTAAACTGTACCTCATAAGAACAAAGGTTTGCATATAAGGTGTTATGTATCTTAAAACAGCGCAAACACTCTCAACATCCACACAGTCTGCTATATTTGTTAAGTCATCTATGGAATGTTCAAAAACCAGACTGACTTAAAAGTCCAATATTTAACATAAAATCTTTTTAACCATAAATTTCCCAACTAAATCAGGTTGAAGCCGAGGGGGTCGATGTCCCTTTATCGGTCCGTACTCTACATAGCTCGGTCTCATCCGGCAGAATGACAAGCCCCTACAAGAGCGCAGCATAACGCAAGAATTCTTTAGCTACAGCTGTCTGAAAATTGAAGGCCAGGTATAGAAGAAAAAACGTATAATGGATATAGCCGAGAAGTTAGTACGATTAGTTCTGAGTCATTAACATAGGGAGACACTCAACAATAATCATAGATTACAACACAGCATCTGACACTGAAGGATGTATGCAATGAGAGGAGTAGATATGCAATGGCATTGAGGATCCCTTTTGCGATTAATTATAGGAACACAGATTGCTTGGAAGTGGTCAAGTTCAGCAGAGGTAGTGATTAGCACTTGAGAATCCTGCCAGTTTTAGAAGATGTTCTTGTACCCGATGTTGACCTGGGGGAGAAGGTCGATTTTAAAATATCAGACTCAATGCAGGTTCGAACCCAAGATAATTGGACCGACAAGCGAGCGACTAGCCGCTACACTCCCGCGACGACTCTATACTTACCGTTTTATGGGCTATGTGATCTATGTTGTTAATAATTCACACGTTTAATTTTTCTTCTCCCCAACGCCGTCTTAACATGGGCTTATTAGGCGCTCGCCCGGGCCACACGCCTTCGAGCAAAAGGGCCCAACGCTTATCTGTATTTACGTTTAGATATGACAGACCAGTTACATTTCACTCTTGGTAATGGTGGAGACCCCAGCACACTGTTTGCCCAGGGACCTTTAATGCAGTTAAGACGGCTCTGTTCTTCCCTTTATCATTTTGGGGAAAGATCTCGAAACACTGCACTGATTATTACCCAAGCTGTTGTATCCTCTTTGGGCTCGATATTCTCAAAGCTACTGCCTCCAACTGACGACTCCAGTGCGTCCAGTTTCCTGACCATTTCATTTCTTGTTGTTAACTATTCACCACCTCACAGAAGGACAGACGGCACAACTGTCCACTCAACGAGTTGTCGTGTTTATAGCCAGGTTAGCGCTTGTCACTTCACAGATAACCACCAAGATGGATTGGCACAACCGGAAGTGAGGTAGTGCGAACAATGGCGGCGTGATTTCAGTTGGAAACACACGGACAGGGATGTATTCTCTGCCTGTCTGCGGGTCTTTCTGATTGTCTAGCACCCTATTTCTTCTTCTTCTGCTTCTTCTTCCTTGCCTCTTTCTTCTTATCTATCCTTTATTCCCAGTGGAGCATAGACCCTCACCCAACGAGAACCAACGAGCTTTGGTCGGGTTTTATTCATTTGATCCCGTGGGTTCAAAGGCAAAGACTTTCTAGTTATCAGGTTTTCTTATCGTTTGTCCTTTCCAACACGTATTCCTCCCCCCCCCCCCTCACCTCTTGATCCAGTGGGGTCTCTTGAGGTCGCTCCGAAAACTCGACATTAGAGATTCTATCCTTTTTATTTATTTAATTTAATTTAATAATAAGGGGTTAGAAGTTGCCATATTTATTCTACCTAAGCTTCTACAATTCCTATGTAACAATTTGCACACTTTGGTGAGGTGTTTGCTCACTCCATATCGAGCCATCACTTTCCATAACTTATCTGTCGAATGCCTTCTTTTGATGTACAGATGCAACAAATAAGTTCTTGTCGTTTTCGATGTTCTTTTCTATGAACTGTCTCAGCGTTTATCTTTCCAGAGTTTATGTGTCCTAAATCTCTTCTGATCAACTCTGGTCCTGTCACTGGTCCTATCACTGGTCACGTCACTGGTCACGTCACTGGTCCTGTCACTGGTCCTGTCACTGGTCCTTCACTGGTCACGTCACTGGTCCTGTCACTGGTCATTCACTGGTCAAGTCATTGGTTCTGTCACTAGTCATGTCACTGGTCACGTCGCTGGTTCTGTCACTGGTCACGTCACTGGTCCTGTCACTGGCCACGTCACTGGTCCTGTTACTGGTCACGTCACTGGTCTTGTCACTGGTCAGGTCACTGGTTCTGTCACTGGTCACGTCACTGGTCATGTCACTGGTCACGTCACTGGTCTTGTCACTGGTCCTGTCCCTGATCACGTCACTGGTCCTGTCACTAGTCACGTCTCTGGTCCTGTCGCTGGTCACGTCACTGGTCCTGTTAGTTACTGGTCACGTCACCGGTCCTGTCACTGGTCACGTCACTGTTCACATCACTGGCAACGTCACTGGTCCTGTCCTGGTCACGTCACTGGTCATGTCACTGGTCACGCTACTGGTTCTGTCACTGGTCACGTCACTGGCCCTGTCACTGATCCCGTTGCTGGTCACGTCACTGGCCCTGTCACTGGTCCCGTTGCTGGTCACGTCACTGGTCCTGTCACTGGTCTGTCACTGGTCACGTCACTGGTCTTGTCACTGGTCCTGTCACTGGTCACGTCACTGGTCACGTCACTGGTTCTGTCACTGGTCACGTCACTGGTTATGTCACTGGTCACGTCACTGGTCTTGTCACTGGTCCTGTCCCTGGTCACGTCACTGGTCCTGTCACTGGTCCTGTCACTGGTCACGTCACTGGTCACATCACTGGTTCTGTCACTGGTCCTGTCACTGGTCATGTCACTGGTCACGTCACTGGTCTTGTCACTGGTCCTGACCATGGTCACGTCACTGGTCACATCACTAGTCACGTCTCTGGTCATGTCGCTGGTCACGTCACTGGTCCGGTCACTGGTCACGTCACTGGTCCTGTCACTGGTCACGTCACTGGTCCTGTCACTGGTCATGTCACTGGTTTTGTCACTTGTCCTGTCACTGGTCACGTCACTGGTCATGTCACTGGTCCTGTCACTGGTCACGTCACTGGAAATGTCACTGGTCCTGTCACTGGTCACGTCACTGCTTCTGTCACTGGTCACAGCTTCGATTCTAAAATCTTCGCAAGACTGGAAGAGTTCAGGCTATAGAAAGGTTCAGGACATGTCTAATATAATGTCCAATACGACGGGCAAGGTGGGGGGGGGGGGTGTAAGTTAATCTGGGAATTGCCATCATCACCACCAACACCAACATCATCCTTATGCTCTTATTCTGTTTTCTTCTAGCGGCTGACACCCAGTGGCGTACCTAGATATGGCAGGTTAGACAGACGCCCTGAGCGCCACCTGGATGAGGGGGAGCGGTGTTTTTTTAGGTGTCATTGTCTCATCAGGAGGGTCACGATGTTTGTAGCTTTGATGGAGAAGGTTACAAGGTCGCCACCAGACACAAACATAAACACCCACACTGAAGCAGCGCTGCTTACATTAGTCAAAATAAAACATTTTTATATGCTTTACTTTTTACTTGCAAATGTAACGAAACATGCATCATAATTATGTAATACACAGCTTCTGTAAGTAGCCCTAAAACTGAGCAAGGCCTGATACAAATTACGATATTCCTCACTGTCAGGGGCGCTTTAAAAAAAAAACTAGGTGCTCTCTCGCTGACACCTTGGCCAGTGAGCCACTGAGCACAAAAACGCGAAATATCAAGCACTCACACCTACTAGATCAGGCCGTATGAATTAAAACCCGTGTTACTTGTGCCGGGTGTTGTGATCCCAGACGGGCTGATGCAAACGTGGTGTGACAACTAGTCAACCTCAAGTGCAGCCCAGTTCTAACAGGCGGCGATAAGTCGCTGGCATGAGAAAATGGTTCCCGGTGCGGAGCTCTCTCTGGCACACAATCGGTCATGTTGAATGTTTCTCCGGTCTGTTAGCGGTTTCGTGCAACAAGTGCAAGACCGCCATTGTCGCGTTGGTCCAGGGATTGGGAAAAATGTCTGCTTGTTAATTAAACGATGACAGTTGTGTTTGGAGATAGAAGAATGTTGCTCTGTGTCAGCGTCTACTCAACCACCCCCCCCCCCCAACCCTTTTTGTGATTTGTTAAATTGGAGTGAAATTACTTGTTTCTCACACACACACACACACACACAGAGAGAGAGAGAGACACACACACACACGCACTCATATGGACTCCTTCGAAATAATTAAATCATATTGCTACGTTTTGGGGATAGGTAAAATGTTTCCAGCAGTCCAACTCAATATTATCTGTTATACTTGAATACATTAGCTTCTTTTTTGTTTTACAATCGAAATCAATTTTTCCTTCTTCTTTCATTTCTTTTCTTCTTCTTCTTCTTCTTCTTCTTCTTCTTCTTCTTCTTCTTCTTCTTCTTCTTCTTCTTCTTCTTCTTCTTCTTCTTCTTCTTCTATTTCTTCTTCTTCTTCTATTTCTTCTTCCTCTTCTTCTTCTTCTTCTTCTCCTCCTTCTTCTCCTCCTCCTTCTTCTCCTCCTCCTTCTTCTCCTCCTCCTTCTTCTCCTCCTCCTCCTCCCTCTCCTCCTCTTCTTCTTCCTCCTCGTCCTTCTTCTTCTCCTCCTCCTCCTCCTGCTGTTCTTCTTCTTCTTCTTCTTCTTCTTCTTCTTCTTCTTCTTCTTCTTCTTCTTCTTCTTCTTCTTCTTCTTCTTCTTCTTCTTCTTCTATTTCTTCTTCTTCTTCTATTTCTTCTTCCTCTTCTTCTTCTTCTTCTTCTCCTCCTTCTTCTCCTCCTCCTTCTTCTCCTCCTCCTTCTTCTCCTCCTCCTTCTTCTCCTCCTCCTCCTCCCTCTCCTCCTCTTCTTCTTCCTCCTCGTCCTTCTTCTTCTCCTCCTCCTCCTCCTGCTGTTCTTCTTCTTCTTCTTCTTCTTCTTCTTCTTCTTCTTCTTCTTCTTCTTCTTCTTCTTCTTCTTCTTCTTCTTCTTCTTATTTTTCTTCGCTCGCCCTTAAACGGAAGGCAAACACATTGAATTGTGGTTTACATAAAGGCTACGCCTTGCCACTTAACACATCCGATTTAATCCAACTCCTATTTAGTCCTTTTTTACGACATTCTTGTTACTGGGTTAAGTTTTGACTTGACTGTCAAGGAAAACCCTCACCTCTCCTGGTGCCTAAGTCTCTGTGCACTGCAGTGGGCGTCTTGTTTGTGGGAGGTGTGAATGCTGACAACTTACTAAACACGGTGTCAATTGTTGGGCGTCTTGTTTGTGGGGGATGTAAATGTTGTCAACTTACTAAACACGGTGTCAACTATTGGGCGTCTTGTTTGTGGGAGATGTGAATGTTGGCAGCTTACTGAACACGGTGTCAAATATTGGGCGTCTTGTTTGTGAGAGATGTGAATGTTGACAACTTACTGAACACGGTGTCAACTGTTGGGCGTCTTGTTTGTGGCAGATGTAAATGTTGACAACTTACTGAACACGGTGTCAACTGTTGGGCGTCTTGTTTGTGGCAGATGTAAATGTTGACAACTTACTGAACACGATGTCAACTGTTGGGCGTCTTGTTTGTGGCAGATGTAAATGTTGACAACTTACTGAACACGGTGTCAACTGTTAGGCGTCTTGTTTGTGGCAGATGTAAATGTTGACAACTTACTGAACACGATGTCAACTGTTGGGCGTCTTACTGGAGCTTACTAGCAGCGACATCATTAATGACTGGAGCCTGTTACATTGCGCTATGAGACAGCATGGGACTCCCAGCGCATGGCAAGGGCGAGTGTGACTAGCAAGACCCGCCAGCCTTAGAAAAGTTTTCCACAATTAGGGCGTGACATTTCAGGATCATGTATTTAGTGTATTTTTCTCAGACGCTCAACTCTCATTTTTTATGCAATCATTTGTGTGTTTGTTTGTTTGTTTAGTCGACGGATCAACATTATATCACACCCATAAGTGCACCCTTCTACTTCTAACTCAAGCCTTAGTCTACAGAATCTCAGCACAGTGCACGAACTCTGTTGCACCGGCGAGAATCATGAATACTTTGGGGAGATTTTTAACTCCAAATTTTGCACAGCGACGCTGTTAGGCTACTCTTTTTTGATTTCCAACTGCCAAGAGATTTTTTTTTTTACGTAAGCAAGAATACATAAAAGTGTCGGATCTCACTGCCCAGAGATATACAAGCGTCGGATCTCACTACCCAGAGACATACAAGCGTCGGATCTCACTACCCAGAGACATACAAGCGTCGGATCTCACTACCCAGAGACATACAGGCGTTGGATCTCACTACCCAGAGACATACAAGCGTCGGATCTCACTACCCAGAGACATACAAGCCTCGGATCTCACTACCCAGAGACAAACAAGCGTCAGATCTCACTACCCAGAGACATACAAGCGTCGGATCTCACTGTCCAGAGACATACAAGCGTTGGATCTCACTGCCCAGAGACATACAAGCGTTGGATCTCACTGCCCAGAGACATACAAGCGTCGGATCTCACTACCCAGAGACATACAAGCGTTGGATCTCACTGTCCAGAGACATACAAGCGTTGGATCTCACTGCCCAGAGACATACAAGCGTTGGATCTCATTACCCAGAGACATACAAGCGTCGGATCTCACTGCCCAGAGACATACAAGCGTTAGATCTCACTGCCCAGAGACATACAAGCCTCGGATCTCACTACCCAGAGACATACAAGCGTCGGATCTCACTGCCCAGAGACATACAAGAATCGGATCTCACTACCCAGAGACATACAAGCGTCGGATCTCACTGTCCAGAGACATACAAGCGTTGGATCTCACTGTCCAGAGACATACAAGCGTTGGATCTCATTACCCAGAGACATACAAGCGTCGGATCTCACTGCCCAGAGACATACAAGCGTTAGATCTCACTGCCCAGAGACATACAAGCCTCGGATCTCACTACCCAGAGACATACAAGCGTCGGATCTCACTGCCCAGAGACATACAAGAATCGGATCTCACTACCCAGAGACATACAAGCGTCGGATCTCACTGCCCAGAGACATACAAGCCTCGGATCTCACTACCCAGAGACATACAAGCGTCGGATCTCACTGCCCAGAGACATACAAGCGTTGGATCTCACTACCCAGAGACATACAAGCCTCGGATCTAACTACCCAGAGACATACAAGCGTTGGATCTCACTGCCCAGAGACATACAAGCGTTGGATCTCACTGCCCAGAGACATACAAGCGTTGGATCTCACTGCCCAGAGACATACAAGCCTCAGATCTCACTACCCAGAGACATACAAGCGTCAGATCTTACTGCCCAGAGACATACAAGCCTCGGATCTCACTGCCCAGAGACATACAAGCGTCGGATCTCACTACCCAGAGACATACAAGCGTCGGATCTCACTACCCAGAGACATACAAGCGTTGGATCTCACTGCCCAGAGACATACAAGCGTCGGATCTCATTACCCAGAGACATACAAGCCTCGGATCGCACTACCCAGAGACATACAAGCGTCGGATCTCACTGCCCAGAGACATACAAGCGTTGGATCTCACTGCCCAGAGACATACAAGCGTTGGATCTCACTGCCCAGAGACATACAAGCGTCGGATCTCACTGCCCAGAGACATACAAGCGTTGGATCTCACTGCCCAGAGACATACAAGCGTCGGATCTCACTGCCCAGAGACATACAAGCGTTGGATCTCACTGCCCAGAGACATACAAGCGTTGGATCTCACTGCCCAGAGACATACAAGCGTCGGATCTCACTGCCCAGAGACATACAAGCGTTGGATCTCACTGCCCAGAGACATACAAGCGTTGGATCTCACTGCCCAGAAACATACAAGCCTCGGATCTCACTACCCAGAGACATACAAGCGTCGGATCTCACTGCCCAGAGACATACAAGCGTTGGATCTCACTGCCCAGAGACATACAAGCGTTGGATCTCACTGCCCAGAGACATACAAGCGTCAGATCTCACTACCCAGAGACATACAAGC